TATTAATTAAAAAGAAACAGCTTAGGGTCCAAAGTAATACCATCACTAATAATCTTTTCGTTCATAACTATGACCTATTGCCAAAAAATATTGTTTTTATTACACTACCACATCCAATGTACTAATGTGCCGCTCTGCATTAGTTGTTTCAGGCACACATCTGGCCATCATATCTGTTTATATCTATTGGTGTTGTATGAATGCACATCGACCATCTAAAATGCATTCATTGAAGGTGTGTATTTACTGATTTAGCTGCACTTTTAATTGAAATCATTTCACAACAGCAAGTAGGTAAAAATATGTTAACAAACATTGCGTCAAACATTAAAATAACTTAATTTAAGTCATCCCCACTTTTGATCCCTGAAGAATGGTGAACCTTTGAAGGAGGTATATCCGAAGTATCTTAAACATCTTAAACATTATAGGCCTCACTTGGTTTAGTTGAGAGTCTGTGTTCACATTGCCAGAAACAGAGCACAAATGGCCAATATAAAAGCATTTGCTGAAGAGCACAAATATTCTCCTCCCGTTTTCCAAACATCACCTTTATATGACTTTGGAAAAAATATGTGGACTGATTAGCCAAAGAGGGAAAAAATATTTGGAGGGTGTCCATCTCAGTATGTGTTAGGGTAACTCGGTATTTTAAAAAAAATCATACCAAAGGTCCAGTGTAGTGGTGATGAGGATGGAGATGTTTGCTGCTGCTGATGAACTAAATGAAGTAATTGATTTCTGGTCATCACTTTTACACCTAAGCGCACTGAAGCGATGCAGCATCACAGTGATCTAAAGCACAGGAGTTATTCCAACTCACAATGGCTCATAAAGAAAACTAAGTCAATGATTGGCCTAGTCAAAGTCTGGGCTAAACCTGTATGGTATGCTGTATTCAAACTTAAAAAGCGATCAGATGTTTGAAAATTCAGTGATTATTCTAAAACTGCAAAGATTCAGCAGAAATCCCTCCAAAGGGGTGGAAAAGACTCATTGCTAGATTCAAAAAGTGTAAAAAGTAGTTATTTCTGGTTAAGTTGCACAACTAGATTTTAGGTTCAAGTGGGTTTTAAAAATGCTTTGTGTATTTACTCAGGTTATTTTTGTCATTAAAGTTTAATGATCTAAAACATTAAAGTGCAACAAGAAGGAAAAATAACAGCAAATACATTTTCATTGCCTTGCATCCAAAATTAGTCTTGAAGGATGTTTTATCAATGTGTTAGGAGTTTGAATTTAAATTTATTAATGCAGATCAACATAATATCACAATGTAAAATTTGCATAAGTAATCAGAAGATTAATCCTCAATAATGAGCATTCCTTTTTGTTTTATATCATTTGGCAATGAAGTTAGAGGGTCTTCGCCGTCAGCTGCAGGAGACGGAGGATAATCTCCTGAAAGGACAGAAAGATCTGATGGAGGCTCACAATGAGCTTCAAGGCTGTGTGGAAGAACGAGACAAGCTACGCAAAGAGGCACTGGAACTGAGGCGAACTCTGTCCGAAGAAACCAGAGAGAAAGAGGCCATCCTGGTTTCTAACCAGGATCTCAGAGCTTTCATCAAAAGAGCAGAGAGAGACAATAACAGGTGCGGTGGTGCAACTCACTTAAGGAATTTCTCGAAATGCTGAGAAATTTTTTACATTGCATCATTTTCAAACTTATATCGACCAGCTTGAAACGAGCGTTGGAGGAGGAGGAACGTAATAAGTCCATCTTGGAAGAATGTAAGAGCTCAACGCACGAGGAAGCAGCCACTCTAAGGAGAACCATAAGGGAGCTGGAGAAGACTCATCTACAGGCACGCAGAGAGCTGCAAGAGCTACGTAGGCAGGTGAAGGATTGTTGAAATTAATATTTGTCTTGCATGTTTTCAGTATAGATTTAGATCACAGTAAATGGTGAATTCTTTACATAATCAGATAAAGGTCCTTGAAAACAAGAATAAACAACAGAACCAGGAACTGCTGGAGCTGCAGGACCAAGTATGTCAGGAAGAGCAGAGGAAAGAGGAGGCACGGCGGGAGGCCTCTGCTCTCAGTCAGAGAATGCTGGAGTGTGAGGCTGCCAAACAGGCAGCTCTCAGTGAGGTAAAGCACTGTGATCCAGTGGTGTTTAAGTTTGGTTTCTTATTGTGTCTGAAATCATTATTATTATCATTTGAGTTTTTTTCCTGATCAGTTTATTCCTCTGTACTCTTTATAGTTGCTATGTCGTATTAGTTTATTCCTTTGTGTTACTAAGTGGGTATTTTTAGTTAATATTCTGAGGCTGGTGTTCTGTCCTTTATGTTTAGTTAAACCCCTCTTGTGTTTTCTGCGTTAATAAGGCTGAATTCACATACCAGGTATTGATGCTCAATTCACACTATTTTCTGAAATCTAATATTTTTTTATGGTTCAATAGTGATATTTATATGCAACTACCTTCAGAATTGAGTCTGCATGGTTCATGACTACAAAGTTGACCCACATGTGCAGTATGTTGGTCATATTAGTAAAAGATAGGATCATGTGTGCTTTTAGCTGCAGTGGGAACATAGCATCAAGGCTCATTCACACAGATTCTTTGTGCCAACTGTGAGTTTTTTTCCTCCCTGTCACCAATAGAAGCCACTCCACTCCCCACAGTCTTACTGCAGCATGCTGGACAGCCCTCCTCCGTCATCCTTCAAAAATATGGATCCAGTGTATTTTTGAATGATGATGGAGCAAAATGTGTATGGTTCCAAAACAGAAGGTCAGACACCAGAAGAACAACTTTGTACTTTTGAAGATGGAGGCGGGTTCTCAATGCCTGACCACATCCTACACGCATCCAGTATGGATACAATGTGCATTCTTTGGAACACAGTCAGTATCGAGACACACTAGATCAGCTTCACACAGACTACACTCTTTGTTATGCATCCGGACAGCCTCCCCTAATAGGCCACACCACAGGCAAATGCATTTTTTTTTTTCTACCTACATGCCACTCATCTGACTTGTTAGTGGCAGTCAGATTGGTCCAATTCCGATGATTTCACCTCCAAAAAGTCACATCTGTGCCGCTTCCATTTGTTGTACTAAATCGGATGCATATCTGCTAGATTTGTTGAGAAAATATGAAAGAAAGAGGAGTTAAATGGGAAATAATGATAAAACATCTTCAGTCTGCTTCATCACCTGCAAAGAGATATAAAAAGAACAGCACAACCAACGGATATAGTTTAAGAGATACAATAAAGTAACACCTTGCTACTATCGCTTAAGTAGTATTAATTGATCTGACATGTATACTGTGGTAGCTGAAGATAAGAATATGGACTTTCTGTGTGGAAGTGAATCTCTAAGTACCCAGAGCCAAACACCTGTAGTTGTTTGTGAGAGTGCACTTGTGCATTTGAAGTTTATCCAAAGGAAAGATGCTCAATAGTGGTTGTGAGGAGCCGAAGACACGCCCCTCCAGAGCACAGAGGCGGATATTTTAAATATTACAAAGCCTCTGAATTCTGACCACATTTCTTATAACTTTCCACTTATCATCCAGGCTTTGACGACATTCATAAAAACACTGAAAATAGTTCAGCTCTCTTTTACCTTCCTTTGTCTCCTTATGAGGTGATCATAATGCTTCCATCAACCTATAAAAACAAAGAAATGGTGACAACTATTGTAACTGATGGTTTGCTGCTGTGTTACATCTTCAGATTGAGGCTGCAAACCGTTGAGAATGGAGTCCGATGTTGGCAGCATTTAAATAGTAGTCTGGATGACCGAGCAGATAAAATAGATTTTGTCAAAAAGTTGGATTATACTGTATGTCTTGGACCTCTCCCTGTACCGTAAAGTATTGGTTCCCAAATAAATTACAGTACCTTCCCACGGGATATTATAAACAAATGCTTACTGTAGTAATGCATTATACAAGAAAGCCAGATTGGTTGAATTTTAAAGCAAGCCCAGATCTGAAAGTGAGCATCAACACTACCTTGCTTTCTCCAACAGGCCAGTTGAATTTGGAGCTATTTACTTTTTGAATGTTGATTAAGATCCTATGATAAATTTGCAGTAGTAGTAGTTTGGGACCATTGCTCTTCTGTTATTAAAACCTTCTCATTCCCATTTCTCCTCTACATAAAGGGATGTTGACTTCAGATTAAACATTAGATTGTGACAGAGTTTAGAGACCTTCTTTTGATGAAAAGCTTTACATGTTCTTTCAATAACTCGATTCTGTTTTTCAGAGGCCGCCTCCTTTTAAATTCTGAAAATCTATCATGTTATTATCCTTAGCAGCCACTCTAAAAGCCGTCAAACCCCTAACATCTAATCTTTAAATACAAATTAACTCAGAAATTGCTGAAAGTTTACAATTTCTATTTTTAAAAGGAACAACGGTAGTGACAGGGTTTAGTTTATTTGGTATTC